ACCTCGAAATCCTACTTACCATTACCAAGCTTGCGATCGTCGGTAACCTACATAATGGCTCAATTAGTTGAGACTGTTAGTCTTTATCCTGATTTTGTTCTTTCACTATCAATTGATAAGGTAGAAGCTATTTTAGCAAATTACTTTCATGGATAGCATAAAACCTCAAATAAAGTTTTTTTTGAAAGTTTTTTTTATTGAAATGTTTGCTGGACAATGGAAAAAGGAAAAAGGAAAAAGAGAAGAAGTATTCTAGTATTTTTATTTGTCTTTACTTCTCTCTTATCTAAAAGAAATTTAAAAAGGGGGAATTTTAATTAGGTGCATCTGGGGTGTTTGAGAATTGTTCGAATCACTACTTGATTCAAGTGATTCTCAAAAAAGCAAGGTGTACATGGTTTGACAATGGATGTATTTGATGGTGCAAAGCAAGTCGGAAGCACCTCATAAATTTTCTTTAGGTCGATGTTCAAATTTAGTGAAGGAATGGCTGATGTGGCTAGAGTCGGAAGCACCTCATAAATTCTCTAGTGTTGATTTTGATATTTGCAATGGTTTGTATAAAATTTGTCATTTTTACTTGTTTGTCATTTTCTTGATTGTCCTTGATTAGCCCATGAAAAAGGAGTCAATTGATGTTGTTTTGTGGTAGGGAAAAATGAATTTGAGCTTTTCTTTGCTATTGTAAGGTAATCTCTACAAACCCACAAAAACAAGTAATTTTCTGCATTGATACTGATTCATCCTTGCCAGTTTTCCTATGGATATAGCCCGATTAGGGTGAACCACGTGTATTTGTGTGTTGATTATTCTTGGATTGCAGTTTTGTAATATCTAGTTGTGGTTTTAAATTTTCTATTTTTACTTTTCTTGATTTCCTTTTATTTCTGCCAAATTTATTATGGCACTTGGCTGTTTTGATTTCTTGAACTTGATTTACTGGTGCTAGGCATGTTGGTTGAAGGCATTGGATTTGTTGTAGTGGTGGGGTTCATTGCAACAAGGGTTAATCGAGCTATTCTTAGATGTCAGTACCTGTCCTCACAATCCTAAAAAAAATGGAGTTTCTCAGAGAAAAGATAGACATGTAATTAAAACACAGAGATAGTGGAAGCTGCTCTGCCTCTCATGGCCCATGCATTACTCTTTGGAAATTTCTCTTCTCGTTCATTCTACAGCTTGTCCCAAGTGACGCCACCCTGCCCATCCAATTGTCACGAGGTTGGAAAATGGGATCTATGATGCTTGCATGGTGTGCTCTACATGCAATCCCATCTCCACTGCTCTCCATGCACAGCCATCCTAACCACTTCGGTTAAACCTTCTTGTTTTACTCAAGCCTACAAAGGCCCACACTGGAGCAATCCCTTGGCAGATGAGTTCAGCACTCGTAAGGGGATGGTACTTTTGTCACTTGTCTCACATGAGTACTGTTGGGTGCAAATGGTGTTTTTAAATTTGAGTGACAGTCTGATGGGTCCCTTGACCATTGCAATGCTCGTCTCATTCGCAAAAGATTTAATCAAGAAGTGGTTATTAACTATGGCGTAAGGTTTAGCCCAATAGTGAAGCCCATTGCAGTTCATGTGGTGTACCCTCTAGCTGTCTCCAATGACTGGCCCATTTGACAACTGATGTGCAAAACACTTTCTCCATGCAACAACCTCTTGGCTTTGCGGATCCTGGGTATCTCTTGCACATCTGCAAATTCCATAAGGCACTTTATGAGCTTAAAAAGGCCCCATTGGCCTGGTTTCAGCAGTTGAACACCCATTTACTGAAATGGGGTTTTGTTGGCTGCAAAGCTGACTCGTCTCATTTAGTTTGGTACATAGCTGAATCATGATTATCCTTCCACTAGCAATAACCAATAAATAAAAAAAAATAGTCCCTCTTTGCAAATCTGGATGTCGAATTTTCCGTGAAAGATCTGAGCTCCCTGCATTACTTGGTGTCGAGACTTCATATATGTCCGATGGGCTGCTTCTTTCTCAAAGCAGTGCACATGGATGGTATAAAACAGTACAACACACCTATCACTAATGGTTCCAAGTTGTCTTGCTACTCTTGAATTCCCCTTTCAGATCATCATCATCATCATCCAAGCCGTATCCCAATTAAGAATTCCCCTTTCAGATGCCTTCAAATATTGCAGTATTTTTTGGGCACTATAGTATCTTATCCACTCAATACCGGACGTTGCCTTTTCTGTTATGTAGTGCCCCACTTTTGATCTTTGGCACATGATCTAATACATTATGCACTATCTCAAAGCATCATTCTTATGGGTGCTTTGTCAAACAATGTTAAAGGTGGATTCGGCTGCCTAGGATGGCGCCCATACCTGGGTGGTCTGTAAAGAAAGGAGGGCCTATAGGCTTGAGGATGATAGTTATTATTTCTTTTCTGGTTGTTTCGGGGGTTGCGGGGGGTGTGTTGGGTGGTTGTATCGGCTATTAAACCCATTGCCTTAGTGCATAGAGCATCCCTTTTTTTTGAAGAACATTGTTTCATAGTTTTTAAAGAAGATCTAATTTCTTGCCCCTTTTCAATATTTGAACAATCTAAGGAAGAATAAAACCTAGCATGCTCGTGTTCATTGACATTCTTTTAGGATTGAATTAAATGATAATAAAGATCAAGAAACTCAGAATAAGACCTATACTTCAATGGGTCGAGTTGAAATCCAAATATGAAAATAAATAAATAAAAATTACACAAACAATAACCAAATTGAAAGAAAAACAAATCAATCCTAACATTCTTAAATATCATCGAGCTGTAAACCAAGAAATGAAATACACTAACCTCTCAAAACCCAATCTTGGCTCGAATCAGAGACCTTTCGTTGCCGAAAGACCTCTTTTTGAATCAGTTCAAGTCTTCAATTTTGCAAGAAATCGAAAAGTTCCAATACTTTTTCTTTTGATCTTCAAAAAAATCACCAAATTCTTGTTGGCTTAGGGTGTTTTTTAAGCAAGAAATGAAGAGGAATGTGTTTTGAGGGGCTAAAACACCCTCAGCGAATGGTGTTTCCTTTGGCTGCTTAGGTGGCCCTTTGGCGCCTAGGTGGGCACTCGGGTATCAACCCAATAGAGCCTTTCCTAAGCCATACGGTTTGGTTCATCTTTTGGGCCGCCTACGCATCCAAGTGACCGAGGTTTTGTTCACTGTTCTCAGATGCTCCTCCTATCTTTATTTTACTGCTTGCCTAGATGTTGATTGGGGCTGTCATGTTGATGCTGATTGGGGCTGTCTTGTTTATTGACGGTCCACAAGTGCTATTGTATATTTTTGTGAACCAATCTATTCTTCTAGAGCTTGAAGAAGAACCTAATGTAGCTTGATCTATTCCTGAGTACGAGGATCACACCCTGGCCAATGCAGCGGCAGAAATTGCTTAGATCTGATCTCATTTAAGTGATCTGGGAGTCTTACTCTAGGGCTCACAACCCTGTTTTTCATGTGCAGATTACACATGTTTCAATTAATTATCATGTTTTTTGGAAGATGGTGGCTTGTAAAGATCTTGATATCCTGTACATGAATATTAATGATCAGCTTGCCTATATTTTCATGATTTCTCATTAATAGTTCTCTTTATTGGGTTGTTATGACATGTATGTTGTTAAGTTAAGAATCTTACTGGCAGTGGTTGAGTTGTTTTAAAAGTGTGATAGAGAACTTTCACGATTGGCCCATGTGGTTTCATTTAGCAGGGTACCACTCATGGCATTAATATGAAAGATAACTTGATGTAATGGTGTATCTAACCAATGTCTAGCTAGAGAGGGGAATGCTACCCCTATTAAATACAAGGACAGATAATTTACATAAGCCCTGTCCGATTACTTAAGCCTTGGAAGAAATATAAATTTCATTATTTTATTATTCCGTCTCTTGAGTTTTGATGAATTTTTATGCTTGAATGAAGTTAGTGTGGTTTACTCAATTTTCGTTATATAGATTTCCCCTATGTTGTATTAATTAGCTTCCTTGAGAATACCTTTTAGCACATTTTTTGCTGTTGTTGCTCAGTATTGTGATGCTACAGCTTGTATAACATAAAACACCTGTGGTAGATGCTGCATTAATTTGGGCATGTAGCTTCTTGGTTTGGTGCGACAGGCTCTATATCACTTGTACTCCCTTGAGCATTTAAATTTTTGGAGCCTTTTTTCCACTTGAATTCGAAAAGGGGATCTTAACTTTTTCTTTTGGGACTTGACCCAATGGTGTAGATTGAAGTTGCCTCTGTTGTTATCCAATTGGGTTGTAAAGTTTAAAAGCTCCTTTTTGTGCTCCAATAGAGATGCTTAGAATAGGTTTAACTACTGGGTTATGTAGTTAGTTATTTCGGGCATCTTTGTAATACCACAGTTTATCCTGTTATTTTCAGTCTAGGGAGATAGTTTCGTGCAGTTTGTCTAAACTTCTTGTGCAAGTGGATGTTTACCTTGTCACATCAATGATGGATAGTTAGTTATGAGACAAAAAGTGTTGCTGTATTACTGCAAATAATTAATATTACTAAGGGATTGTCTACAAAGAGACCATTTATCTTTTGTACACAGAGGCGGACCGCAAATAATTTATATTGCTAAGTTAGGGATTGTCTACAAAGAGACCATTTATCTTTTACACATGAAGGTCACAATCATTCTTGTCTATTGGATTTCAAAATAGGTGGTTGTAAGAATGTCATTGAATAGACACAAAGTTCCCAAAAAAAATTCTCGGAGCCATCCATTTTGACATCTAATGAGTCGGAATGACTGTGGCCTCCATCTACAAGAAATAACTGGTCTCTTTGTAGACAATCCTGCTAAGTTATTGCAAAACACACATTGTTGGTTACAAGCCATGCTATATATTTTATAATGGGATCTGTATCGACTGTTAAAACCAGGAAATAAATGAAGTATGCAAATCTTTAGTATGTGCTAGGAACCTCTGTGACTAAAAAGTACTTACTCTTGGCTTGTTGGCAAACTTTTTAGATCCCTAAAATGAAGGCATATATCAGCGATACTGAGGACCTCAAACAAGACAGTTCCTACCAGGAGACTTGGGATGACATGATTATCAATGTAAGTAGTGGAAAGAAATGTCCCTAATTTCTGATTTAGTATGTTGATATGTGATCATCATAATTTCTGTTTACATATTTTCAGCCTCAGTTTTATCTGATGTCAGCGTATAATTATTGCAGTCATTTTTCTAATCTAATTTGAAATTCTTTCACAAACGGACCAAAGAACTCCCTTAGTTAATGTTCATCTCCTTTGAGCATGGCCTCTGTAGTCTTTCTTTGTGATAATCATGTATTTTACCTTTTTCCTATTCTCCTTCCATTCGGTTTTTTTTCATGAATGGACGAAAGTACTCCGAACTACTCGCATCCCTTTTTGGTGTAGCCTTCGTAATCTTTCATGGTAGTGACTATATCAGTCCTATCCTTTCAGAACAATTGAAGTCCCTACAATATTTGTAATAATAATTGTTATGCCATTACATTTATATACTTGTCGTGTCTGTGTGGGTTTACTGCCCAGGTGTATATTGACTAGAATTAAGCGTGACCGAAGTTAAAACTTTCTTTTCTTTATTTTATTTAATTTTTTTTTTGGAAATGAGGTCACATGTGTTATGTTATTTATGGCCTTTTTGCCAAACATGTGATTAGAAAATGGGCATACCCATACTTCGCAGAATAACTGTCGCACTATTGTGTTGCAATAATAAAATTGAACATTTTTGGCAGTCCATCCAAATTGGACCACGGCTACTGGGTTTATTCTTCTATTAGTCATTAAGAGAAATCAACATCCGTATATTGAGGAACAGACCAATAGTGCCAGAATTAGACATGTCAATCTTGTATTTGGTGCAGAATATAAAATTGACCTGCACTTTTAGTATAGGTTGATTTTTCATGTCAAATTTTTACTTAATAAATGCACAAATTTTGATGGTAATATTGACAAGTCAAAATTCTGCAATAAATTTCTGTGAAATGCAAATTTGTATTTCTTTCTCTATGCTAAATGTGTAGGTCAGCTTGTTTGGGATTTTTTTTGGGACAAAATTCATGGGTTCGAACTCTTCACCTCCCTCACCCAAACCCCAATGTTTACACTAAGCACAGATAAAAAAACACATTCTTATTGTATTCTGTTTTCTTTTATATTTTCTTGAAATGTATTTCTATCTTGATGTGCATTTCAAATGCTGAATACTTGTTCTTTGGTTTATTTGGTTAGTAGCTGTTACTTTGTACCAGGAAATGTTAATCAATAAGAACCATCTGTGGTACACTGTCTTTCACTTTACTGTGTGTTTACACTTTGTAAATTGTGTTCTACATGCTACATTGAGCTTCTGTAATGACTAGTTGTGTGCTTGGTCATCTTCATATAGTCGTGTGCTGTTCACTTGTTTTCTTTTCTAATGCTTTCAACATAGCAGTTTTTTGCAGAATCTTTGGATGTGATTCAAGATATTGATTGGGCAATGTCTTTGGGAAATGTTTTCTCCAAGCAATACTTGCTTTATATAGGTGATGATGAACATTCAGCACTACTTCATAGGTATTTAGTTGCTTTTTTATGTTTGATTTAAATTCATTTTTTGAGAAGGTATGCTTGATTTAAATTGAAATGTTAAATCATATTAAATGAGTGCCTTTTTTTTTCATGTATGTTTTTTGTATGTTAATGTTAATGCAAAAATGTCGTGATACATTCTCCACGAAATTTTTTTTTTGAGGGAAGGTTAACTTCTATTAAAAGAGAAAGAAATTACAAAAACACATTTCCGCTGTCACCCACAGGCGGGGACTCGGTAAAAAATAAGAGGTCAGATATGAACAAAAATGATACAACGATATACGGAAGCTTAGAAAAGCTGAGATGTCAAGTAAAGCCAAAAATAAGGGCTTATAGATTCGCCCTTTTACATTGATTGACAATAAGCTTTCAAAAAATAAGTTCCTGTGCACGGAAAGGACAACTGGCTAGGCTAACTGTCTGACTGCCCCCAGTCTTGCGTCAAAAGGGGGCCTTTGTCTTCTAGCTCGTTCTTTTGCTAGTCGATTTGCGTACGCGTTGGATGTCCTCCAAGTATGCGTCCAAAAGATGTCCATACCCCTGCAAATGAACTGAATCTCGTCAAAGATAGGAATATGGTGCCAGGGTGGAGGGGTTGAGCCGCTAGCCCAGGAGATCACGTTAGAGGAATCCCCTTCAACTATGAGGTGAGAACCCCATGACGAATTAAAAAATTTCAGCGCTATTAACAGGCCCAGTGGAGTCCTTGGTACCTATGTATTCTGAACATTCAAGTAGGGCAGAACTTGCATGGTCTCGATAGATACCCCTTGCTCCCGCTGGGCCCGAATTGCCTAAGGAACACCCATCAAAGTTCAACTTGATAGTTCCTTGAGAAGGAGGCTGCCAGTTATTGGGCCTTGTGACTGTTTGCGGTCGAAGGTGAAGGAGGTTGAGCCATTGGGGAAGGAAGAAACTCCCTGGAATGCTCGCGAAAGTCTTGTGGTTGGAGGATAAAGCTCGATGGAAAATGGCCGGAGGTAGGAGTTTGCTTCCACGAAAGATTCTAGAGTTTCTTTTGATCCAAATGGACGAGATGATTGCTGCTACCACTGCTCTCCACAGGATTCTCCCAGCTTTTGGGCATCTTGAATCCAGGTCAAATGAAATAAGGTCCTTGACCGAGGGTGGGATAGCCCAGCTGATCGCAAATAAATTTAGTACTTTTCCCCAAAGCTCCAAGGAAAAATCACAAAGGATGAAGAGATGTAGGTTGGTTTCCTCCTCATTTTCGCAAAGAGCGCATCTATTGGGAGTTGGACTCCTCTATGCTGGAGTTTGTCTATCGTGAGAGCTGTGTGAGAGAAGGCCAAACAGTTAAACGTTTGAACCTTAGGTGGAGCAATGGAATTCCACACTTTGAAAAGTGCCGAGGCGTGATGATCCGAGGTCATTGGTTGGGCTGCTAAGCTATTATAAAAAGAGGCAACCGAAGAAATACCCGAAGGTAGGAGTGTCCAAGCAATCGCATCCCTACCTTGGTGCAAGAAGAACCGAGAGTGAAGAGTAGAAACTAGGACCTGGAAGTCCCTGGTCTCTTCATTGGTTAAACTCCTTCGAAAGGAGGGGCTCCATATGCTTCGGTCTCCTGACAAGACAACCTCTTCCTCAATAGAAGAGTTTGCATTGCAAGTAAGAGAGAAAAGAGAAGGAAAAGTCTGATTGAGGGGGGTGGAACCTAACCACAGATCAGTCCAGAATTTGATTCTTGATCCATCTCTAGAAATGAACCTGATTGACTTGTTGAAGAGGGTAAAAGCCTTAGAGAAAGAAATCCAAGCACCTGAGACGTTATGTCACTGGGTCCTATGAGGTAGCCAATCTGCTTCAGCAACATGGTATTTGTACTTGAGGACCTGAGCCCAAAGCGCTCCCAGATGGTTGGCGAGGTGCCACCACCATTTCCCTAGAAGGGCCACATTGTGCAAACGGAGGTTTTTAATGCCAAGTCCACCCTACATTTTGGGACGGCAGACCAAGTCCTAGGAAACTAGGTTGTATTTCTTCTTTTCCCCTTGACCCGACCAAAGGAAATTCCTCATGAGTTGGTTGAGGCGATTGGCCACAGAGGCAGGCATGTGAAAGATGGACATGAGGTAGATTGGCATGTTCACAAGAGTAGCTTTAATCAGAGTGGATCGACCTGCCAAAGAGAGGAAATGACCCGGCCACCTTGCCAACCGTCTGTCTACCTTGTCTATCACAGTCGACCAATGTCTTTTCTTTGGCTTGCCTAGGCCTAAGGGAAGACCTAGGTTGGTGGTAGGGAGGTCCTCCACCTTCATTCTCCACGAAATTAGTGGAAGGAATTGGGAAGAAATTGATTTTTAATATTTTATTCAAGAGCGTAGTGGTGCACACACATATATGCGTAGTTGCACACAGAGACACACATTCATTGCAAATGTTTGGAAAAATTATCCCACTTTTTTTATGTCCCAGATTCCATTGGATAAATGGCCATTTTGCAATCAGTTTGAAATTAATTGTAAGTCCATCGGCCTTTTGCATTTGTCAAAAAAAATTCTAGTAATTGATATTTGAATGGTTGATTACATGCAATGCCTTGTTGAGCTGTAAAATAAACTTGAAATTCTGTAAAGAGGATGTAGGCTTTGTTGAACAAAACTTTGTCCTGTTCCAATTTGAGTGAGAAATCCAAATTTCTATGGATGTGGCATGCATGATGCAAACCCTAATTTATATGGCCATCCACTAGTGTTGAAGCATAGTTACCGGGATCGTCTACTATGGTTGGCAATTCGTTTTTGAAGCTCCATCCTATGATCTGAAAGGTGTCTTCTATGGATGTTGTTATTTAGAATTTTAGATCTTGATCTCTTCTTCAAGGGATCTAGTTCCATTCATCATGTGAATGAGATCCATACTTTAATGGTATTTAGTTCGTACGCATACATGAGATCCATAATTTAATGGTATTTTGTTCCTACACATACGGGTTCTCACTGCTGAGTGTTGTGAGATCCTGATTCTATTACATCGGAGATTCTGTTATCCTGAATAGCGGGACCATACATATACTCTAGCCAGATTCCACCAATATGGGATCCATTTTATTTCTTTAGTAAAAATTTAAGTTCAAATAATATTAATCCAACAAAGTTAGGGTCTATGCCTTCGAGCCAAGGAGCGCTAGTTAAAAGTACTCAAAAGTCCTCATTTTTCATCTGTATAGAGCTTGCTCCTACAAAATTTGTTATTCACTCCAGCTTATGTTGGGATCATTTTCCAACTATGCTATGGTGGTAGGCAAGTTCAATTCTTAACTGATGGATCTCGGCCCCGGGAATTTTATTTGTCTATTCTGACTAATTTGGGATTGCGATCCCTGTTACACGAGGATCGAGGTTGGAGTTAAGAGGGTAAGGACATCAATCCCTATCATAAGGAGCTTTTGGGCAGCCTTAGTCCATCGATCCTGCCCCCAATCCCGGAATCATTCTCTATCCCGTTCCCAACAACTATGTGCTGAAATACTATTTTCAGACTTGATCGGGCTGAGATTGGCCGACCCAAACAGTTGGGACGATGTCGGATGATAATGATGATGATGATGATCGGTCTGAGATTGAAAAATTCTCTTTTTTAAACACCGGAGCTGTTAGGGCTTAGATTTCAAGAACATTGGTAAATGGACTTAAATGCCCTTAACCAACTTCCAAATGCTCCCAATTTACCAATTAAGCAAAAATATTTGAAAGGGAAAGTACGTCTTAGACATTGCATGAAGATTTGTCCTCCTATAATCACCATCCTCAATCCTCATTGCAGATATTATATGAGCCAATGTACTTTCCATATGACTTCACCACAGCAGCCAGCAGCCTATGTCATTCTATTATCCAAGCCTGCTCATTGGTGCATTACTAAAGACTTTTGAGTAACATTATGAAGGAGAGTGATTCATCAGTGTGGACTAGATAGCCATGGAGTCTTCAATGTGGAGCTAGTTTCTCTCCTTGAACAATTCAGTTGTCATCATACTTCAATCTAGGTTCAAACTAACTGACCTTCTGGGATTTAGAAATGTTGCTTTCCTAATTCCCAGTGTACTAGACATTCTTTCTTTCATTCAAAGTTTTCTTTCTGTTGTATTTGGACCAAATACATAAAGCAATGACCATTGAATTAAAACCTGAGTTGTTGTCATAAGGGGAACCTTGTATTGAAAATAACACATTATGCAGTATATTCATCAGATTTACAAAGAATTTCAATTTTACAAACACATAAGGTCTCATATTTCCAGATTTTAAGCCAAGCAAGAAATACACCATATATATCCCCCCCAAAAAAAAAAAGAAATCCAGATCCACTAGATGTTGTTTCCACGAGATATAGAATATGCTTTCGAGAGAAAATGATTACAGGCTTTCATAAAGCTCTCCCTGAAAAGGGTCAAATAAAAACGCAGTCCATTTTTCCTAATTTTTGTGCCTCTTGATTCCTCATTTGCAACTGATATTTTAATTTTAAAATATATTTGTTTTGTCTTTAGTAATTTGTGCTTATTTGTGGGTGCTTTCATGACTAAGTTACATGTGATGGGAAGTGTATATGTGCACTTACTGATCATGTTGCGATATTTTGCCATGATGGTTGCTTTCGTGTTGACTTGAGCTCTCTTATGTTTTAAAAGATAACATTGTTGACAATCTTCTAAGGAACGGTTGGTATTGTAACTGGTAGAGTGGCCTTTCTGATACTATCCCCTGAGATTGAGCCCTGTTGCATTGATTCATCAAAAGAATCTGTGTATACTCTCATGTGTTTGCTTTTTGCTTCATAGTTCTCAAAAAGGTTACTTAAAAAGTAAAATGACCTGATTACTTAGCAATTTAGTGTAAACTATTGCACATTTTTTTGCCATGCCAAGTTGTTCTATGTACTTGGCTGGAGATATCTCCACTGTTTTTTTTTTGAGTAAAGTTAACTTTTGTATTACTGCGAGTGTGTCAAGAAGAGATATCTCCACTGTTTTGTTTGGATGATGAATCTTTTCTGGCTACAGGTGTCTCGGAATGCTCCTACAAAAAGTTGATGGTAGAAGTTATGTTCGTGAAAAGATAGATTTGATGTACAAACATGCGAATATTGCAAATGGAACAAACAGAATTGGTCTCGCTAAAGGCATGGGGTTGGTATGTTGGTACCCAAAGTCACATTTCAGTATGACTTGGTTTTAATTTTTAGTTCTCAGTTCAAGTATGTCTTATCCTAATTTTGATCTGGAGGTTTCTGCTTCACATTTGGATACCGTTCTGGAAAAGCTTAAATCGATTTTGGATGGGGTTGGGCACAACAGGTTTCAAAGGTACTGTTCTGCCTTAAATGAACTGGGCATGTGCCTTCTTTTCATATGCTCAGAGATCCACAAGTGTTAACTTTTATTTTATTCTGTTCTTGTTGGTTGTAACACTTTGTGAACTGTATCAACTCAAACTTTAATATTAGAGGCATTTTTAATATCAAGTTGCTACAACAGCTACCCCTTGTTTGCTGCTACAGTTATTAGCCCTTGAACAGAATTAAGGTTAGCAATAGGCGCATATGTCTTGGTGTAATCAATACAAAAATTTGGTGTATACCCTTTTGCCACCGACCTTGCCTTTTACCTCTCCACAGTCTCTTCCACCTTGTATGAGAAAGAGCATGCTGGTAGGACTTGTACAAAGATAGAGCAAAGTGATAAAGCAAACTTTCGATATGAAAGATACAAATTTGTAAATGTAACAGAATGGGCAATTTGATGTTGAATACAAGATGTTTACCTCTACAAATGGCTTTTGGAACATCAACAGAATCAGGCACAAAAGGGGGATCGTGAATTGCAATTGGATTTATAGACAATGATGGAGACTCATGGCTTGCTGAATTGGTGGTGGGTGTACTTCCTTCACTTTCCTTCTCGTATATACCTTTGGGGCTGCTCTTGTGGCACATTAACAAGAGGAGAACATGCAAACTCCTTAGGAGCAACCAATTGAGCTTTTGACAAAGAACCATGAACTGGGGTAGGAATAGGAACGGAAGAAGGGGAAGGAGAGTGCACTTCATTATGTGAAGTCTCCCACTTGAACAAAATTTAAAAAAAAAGGATCAAAAAAAAAAAAACACTTTTAAACATTTGGACCTCATTAGATAAATATGGAGTATTCCAAGAAAAAGTGACATTTGCACAAACAAATTTCCTACTCAAGCTAGGATGATAGCATCGATAACCTTTTTATTTACTAGAATATCCCGAAAATATGCACCTGATAGCTTGAGGATCTAACTTATCAATTTCAAACCCAAAGCATGAATAAAACAAACACCACCAAAACCAAATACTTGATGAAGAACTACAATTAAAGATGCATTTGGAAAGAGAAGAGAATTTAGTGATTTTTCATCCAAACGGATGATGGAAGATGGCGAATGATCTATTAAATAACGAGCAATCAATACCCCATCTCCACAATAAACTTTAGTTACTTACATGCATATTTAGCAATAAGGCACGAGTCACTTCTATTAAATGATGAATTTTATGTTCTGCAATCCCATTCTGTTGAGGAATGTGTGTTTGCACAATGTTTTATGTAAAATCCCTTGTTGGGCTAATCGATTTTTATATTCTTGGGACAAATTCTCTTTAGCTTTGTCAGAATGCAAAATACACACATCTTTACCGAATTGAACTTAAATCTGTTTGTGGAACATTTGAAAAATAGGCAAAGCCTCAATTGAATCTTTCTTTCATTAAATATAACACTCATACAAGAATAATCATCCATAAAAATTAAAAAAATATTTGTGACCAAATAAACTCTAAACTCTAGTGGGACCCCAAATATTTGAATGAACACTAAAAAAGGGCAATGACTTGGGTCTATGAACTCTGGGATGAAAAGACACTCTATGATACTTGGCAACTCACAAGCTTCACAATCCAATGTTGACACAAACTCCAAAGATGGAACTAACAACTTCAAATTATTAAGAGAGAGATGACCCCACTGGCAGTGCCATAGGAAAGGAGAAGCACTTGAATGAAGAGCAGCACCAACAAGGCTACGATCTAAATGGTAAAGTCTACCGGACTCACAACTGCCACCAATGGTCCTCTTTGACTTTAATTCCTAAAAAATACAAAAGGATAAGAATGTTACTGAGCACTAAAGTGATAATTGACATTGAACTTAATTTACTAGTTGAGACTAAACTAAAAGGAAACTTTGGTACTTAAAGAACAGAGGACAATTGTTAGAAATTTGTGGCCATTTAAAGGCCTGACAAGAGCATGTAATGAAATTTTATGATAGTGGATGATGAACTCTAGTGGGAGTATGGTCCAGAGGAGCCGAAGTTGGCAATAGTGATGCCAAGACTCCAACTAAGCTTGACGAGCTAGGCCATGTTGAGTTTTAAAAATCTATAAGACCTGGACATATAGCAACTGAGAAGGGTTTGTTGGGTTACCCCGTGATGAGGTCGGAGAGATGCCCTGGGTAGTTGGCCAAGGGACTTAGTAACCCTTTTATGTGATTGCTAAGCTTGAGGGGACAAGGGCCAAATCCTCCTCATGAACATCACACGGCATGTACATATGATATCGTATTGAGAAGTAGACATGATTGAGGGTGTTGAATGTACATGTCGAGAGATAACCCCCATGTACCAATTGTGATGTGTGTGAGCGTGACCTAAGCTTGTCCTTAGTGTGACTAGGACTGTATTCTCATCACCTATTGGCTGGCTTTGGTTGTCCAATCATGAATCCCTGTAATGGACTGTGGGTCATGGGAATTACTGGGTCAGTTTGAGAAAGTGTGGGACATAGTCACTAGTGGAGCTGGAGTGCCTTAGTGTTTTCGCATTTTTTCTAACAAAGTTGGATCCGATTCTTATTAAATTAATTTAAAAATGATTAATTTTGTTTTAAATAACTTTTAGAATATTAAAATGCATTTTTAAAAGTCTTAAGATATTTTATTTCATCAGAATTGATTTTTAAATAAGCTAACACTAAGTTTTCTGTTATTTAAATATTCAAAGAAGAAAATAAAATATCTAAGTCAAAGAAGAAAATAAAATATCCAAATATTTCTAAAGTCATTTTATTTTATCTATAAATTATTTTATTTATGGGGGCCCATAATACATTAGAGCCTACAATTTTAGGCCAACCTTGAGGGGGCCTTGCCCCCATAAGTGGGACGCCCCACTTTTCTCCCTTTCCATATAATGTGGTTTGTATGATAAGGCATGCAAATTGATTTGAAAGAGAAATGGAAGGTTTTGTAAAAGAGGCTAATTGATTTCAAAAAGGGAATATGTAGAGATTAATTGAAAATAAAAGGAAACACATTATATACTTTCTCTATACATAAAATTTGATGGGATTATGGCATTAGGTTAAGGATGTTGAGAGATAAGGTTCTATAACCCTCCATTAGATCATGATGGCTGATCTATAGATTTTATGGTTAAGATCTCTCACCTCACAGGTCACCGATATCAATGCTGTTGCAAGGAAAATTGAGGGAAAAATAAATCAGCATGAAACAAAGGCAAACACAAGCGCAACTCAAAGAAACCTAAGGTTTCTTCGCCTTACCCTAAGCTAGGGTTCTAGAGCCTAAGCTTTTATCTCCTTCAATATCTAAAAATCATGTCGAATTGACCCTCTCAAAGCCCACCTCTTATATATTATAATTCAATGTTCAAAGGCATTGCATGTGCATATAATGATTAAAATGACCTATATATCCTAACGTAAACTTAAATTTTGTAATGATAGTTTTATCCCTGTGAGCAGTACTTGTGAATAGTACTCATGAAATAAATAAATATAAAAACCCTAGAATTCCTAAAAACTAAAAATCCTTAGAAATAAACCTTAAAACTAAAACTATAACATACATCATTTGAAATTGAATAAAAATAAAAAATAAGAGCAATTTTCCCTCCGTCAAATAGTCTAGATGGAATCTTATAAGGATGGCTAAACCCTAGAAACCCTTACCCTAGCCTCACTACTATAAAATGTCTCGATGGGGGTCATCTCAACATACTTATGCCTAGAGCTCTCTCCCTCTCTTCCTCATACATGGCACGCCATCCTCTCTCTCTCTCTCTCTCTTTTTCACATATTCTCTAAGGAAGAAAGAAGGGGGGCACGCCCCAGGGTTTGATACATGGACAAGGGGCACACCCCATATAGTTTGAGAAGTAGAGAGACTCCATCTTGTGTGTGCATGCTCTCAAGTACTAAGAAAAGGGTTTGGCATAAACTTCCCATTTGTTGAGATTTAAGACAGACCTAAATTTCATGTACCATTGGTGGAGGAGACCTGGTGTGGGATGTGCAAATCTTTTGGCACATTGTCTTGTTTTATGCCTTCTTGAGTTTTCTTGTTCCCAATCTCAATTGATGTCACTTTGATTATGTAATGAAGAGTTTTTAAAAGGCGATAGCAAGTGAGAATCCATATTTGTTTTCCTTTCATTTATTTGAATTTCAATTGTAATACGTAGATATATATAAGTGTTCTAGCCGTTATCACAAAAGAAAAATTTTATACTACATAAACCGTGCTAGTTCACATCATCCACTGTCAATAATGAAATAGAAGAAGTAGGCTGAACTATGCCTTTCCCAAACACAATAGATAGAGTGCCATTAGCTAATGTAGCGTGGCATTGGAAACTAATTGTTCGAGAAAAGAAAACATAGTAGACTCACCATTCATGATCAAAGGCTCCTAAGTCAATGAGCCAAGGAGATGGCTTTTGAGACAAAAAATGCAGAATTTCCTTTTTTTGCAAGGGTAGCTTGGGTATAGAGGGTTGAGTTGTAGGCTGCTCATTTTTTGTCCACAATGTTTATTGTATTCTCTGTCATGAGAGCCAAGTAATCACCAATAGAATTGAGAACCTGATATTCATCATTGGAGTCAACCAGATGGATATCATCACCCTCAGATACATAAGTTATTTGATTGGCATAAGTGGGCTTTCTGAATTTACCCCAACACTTATGTGATGTGTGATTAGTACATCCACAATGAGTGCATCTGCTGGTACCACTGTCTCTACCATGGCCTCCTCCCTCTGAATCACGACCACGTCCTCTATCATCACCACCACAACCTCTACCCCATCACCTCTACCCACCTCTGCGGTCAAGGCAGACCCATCACTAATACTAGTGATTGATGGAGGCGTTTAGATGGCAACCCTTTGAAGATGGGAGTATACATTGTTTTTTTTGATAAAAGTTAACATTGTATTGCTGGAAGAGTATTATATTGGAGAGTATTACAAGTGAGAGTCCGAAATCACCCTAACAAAGGGTGACTCAGTAAAAAATGTGCTAGCCTAACATGTACAAAATGGGCTTATAGAGCCACCCAGTTACATTGATTTACATGAAGCTTTTGCAAAAATACAGCGAGACAAAAAAACCAAAAACCGAGCCGTATTAAGACGTGTGCCGCTGGTCCTAAGCAAAAAAGGAGTCGGACCCGGGTTGCGCTTGTCCTTGGCCTTGACTTCTAACACTCTCTTTCGCCAAGAGATCTGCGGTGTCGTTGGACGTCCTCCATATATGCCTCTGGGAGACGTCCATATCCCTGCATATATGATCAATTTCACAAAACATTGAGGCTAAGTACCACAGTGGTGAGCTCGTTGTCCTTGCCTAGGAAATAACATTTTTTGAGTCTCCTTCCACTATCAGGTGCTGGCCCAAAGAAGGATTGAAAAGTTTAATGCCTATTAAAAGGGCAAGAGCTTCGGCATGATGAGAATCCTTTCTGCCTATATATTCTGCAAAGGTCAGGAGGACGTTGCTTTTGTGGTCGCAAAAGACCCCTCCAGCCCTTGCCGGGCCAGGGTTCCCTAGGGAGCACCCGTCGAAGTTTAGTTTGATGTATCCTTGGGGTGGTGGTTGCCAGTTATAAGGTCAGGGGAAGTTCATTACTAGCTAAGATTTGGCCACGAGTGGACTGATATTTAGGATTAAGACTAGACAAGAACTTTGCAACTTGAAATTCTTCTTGTTGCTTCTTTAGTAGCTCCATATCATTTGATAAAGGGTGATTCATAGTCAACTCTTCCCACATACTCCAATGAGTAAAGCCTTTAGATGAGTCACCATATGTGAGGATAGTTTGAGGTTCATGGTGGTCAGGAGGTTTGGGATCTTCTTCCAATACTCATTGAGACTTTTGTCAACTTGTTGTAAACGAAAAATATTCTCATAGAGTCGGGTGTGATGCTTTATAAGAAGAATACAACTCATGTATAGTCTCCCAAACTTCTTTGGTAGTACCAAGAAACATCACATTAACACTTACTTGGGGTTCCATCAGCGCTTGGTTCAATGTATTCTCCTTAAGCTGTTCTTCATACCTGTTGTCGGATAATTTTCGTCCATCTTCAGTCAGCTAAGCCCATAAGAGATAATTGGACTCATTTACTTTCTCGAAAAGTAAGTAGCATTCATATCATTGATGCTAGAAGACTCGTTGACGAAGCTATTCAACAAGGTGTTGAAAAACGAAAATGCCAGATGAATGGAGGAAAAGTATTGTGGTACCTATTTACAAGAACAAACAAGACATACAAAATTGTGCAAACTAAACAAAGGAGACACAAAATTGTGCAAACTCAAGCTTATGAGCCATACTCTAAAGCTCTGAAAGAGAATCATTGAACAACGACTAAGGCATGAAACGAGTGTATCTGAAAACCAATTTAGATTTATGCCAGGAAGGTCAACAACTGAGGCTATTTTCCTACTTAGGCAACTGATTGAGAAGTTTAGGGCGAAGGGAAAAGACCTCCAAATGGTTTTTATTGATCTAGAGAAAGCTTATGATAGAGTACCTCTAGATTTGATTTGGCAGGTGTTGGAAAAGAAATGCGTCTCTAGACACTACATCAAATTGGTGAGAGATATGTACGATGGAACGCTAACTAGTGTACGAACTAGTGGAGAGACAAGTAAGTTTTCAGTGACAATAGGTCTACATCAAGGGTTAGCATTGAGCCCGTAAATGCGTCTATACGCACTACATCGAATTGGTGAGAGATATGTATGATGGAGCGCTAACTAGTGTATGAACAACTAGTGGAGAGACAAGTGAATTTTCAGTGATAATAGGTCTACATCAAGGGTCAACATTGAGCCCGTACCTCTTTGTCTTAGTTATTGACGACTTAATTAGGCACCTATAGGATGATGTACAGTGGTGCATGTTGTTTGCAGATGACTTAGTTTTGATAGATGAGACCCGAAACAACATCAACACACAGTTAGGACTTTGGAGGGTTGCTCTAGAATCCAAATATTCTAAAATTAGTCGGACTAAGACAAAATATATGGAGTGCAAGTTTGGTAATAATAGGAGTAGAGACGAGGAAGTAGTCAAGATTGACGGCCAGGAGGTATAAAAAAGACCGCACTTTTGATATCTTGGGTCGATAATCTAGGAAAATGTAGAGATCGAGGAAGAAGTCGATCACATAATTAAAGCTGGGTGGGCAAAGTGGAGATGTGCAATTGGAATTTTACGTGATCGCCACATACCATTGAGGCTTAAGGGTAAGTTCTATAGGGTGCAGCAGTCAGACTAGCTTTGCTCTACAGGGCAGAATGTTGGGCGGACAAAAAACAATATACCTATAGAATGAGCGTAGCCAAGATGAGGATGTTGAGATGGATGAGTGGCAAGACAAGAAGGGATAGAATTCGAAATGAATCTATTCGAGAGAATTTAGGCGTGGCACCAATAGCCGATACATGGAGAGAGAGTAAACTTCGGTGGGTTGGTCATGTGTGGCGCCGATCAAGTACAATACCTATTAGGAAGTGCGAGTTAGTTCAAGTGGAAGGACTGAAAAGGGCAAGGGGTAGTTCAAAAAGGACGTGGTTGGAAGTAGTCTGAATAGATATGGAGACGTATGGCCGCATTGAGGATATGGCCTTTAATAGAGCATAATGGAGAACCTGGATTCATGTAGCCGACCCCAATTAATTGGGAAAAAGGCTAAAATGATGAAATGAAATGAAGTCATTGATGCTAGAAATTGCATGCTTATTTTCACTAGCTATGAGGGTAAGATGCACACATAACAAGGAGAATACACAATACTATAGCGGGCTGAATACTTTATGAATGTAGCAGGTAGAAGGAGATATACTTATCATTCACCTACTTATTACATGCAGATCTTCACACTAGGGCTATTGCGTGGACTTCCACAGTCGCAAAAGGGTAGAAAACGAGGTGTCCCTTATTAAACTAGCAAAAAGTAGAATTAGTGCCCCCCCCCCCCCTGTTGAATTGAAAGAGGAAAAAAAGAAAAGAGGAGAATAATTCAAATCTAAAGATCTGAATGCTCTGATACCATGTCAAGAATATAGTACTTAAGAAGAGAGAGAGAGAGAGAGAGAGAGAGAGAGAGGTAGGTGGTGGGCGACGTACACGTAGTTACGGTTACACGACGTCCTCTACGTCCGTCCCTTCTTACTTTACTTTTACTTTTAATTTTAACTTTAACTTAGTAGTAA